CACAGCAGTCTTCCTGCCTCAGCCTCCCGAGTGCTGGGATTACAGGTGTGTGCCAACACGCCCAGCTCCCCATGTACTTTTGTGTGTGTGTGTGTGTGTGTGTGTGTGTGTGTGTGGTACTGGGGATTGAACTCAGAGCCTTGAGCTTGCAAGGCAGGTGTGGTGTCACTAAGCTAAATAAATCCCAGCCCTGTACCCATGCACTTTTGTTTAGATATTTAATACTACTATTATATCATTTTGAAATGAAATAAATCTACATATATATCCTTGGACCAAGATTGTTGTGTACTTTACCAATAAACAGACAGCTGTTGTAGGGTAAATATTTTCTCAGAGGTAGTGAAACCGAGGAACAAAGGAATTGGGATCACTTAGCTTATCTACATACAGTGTTTTAGATTTATTGCCTTGTCCTGTGGACAGGGCAAATGGAATAAGGAAGATACAGAAGTACTACTGCATTCCTCATTCAGGAATAAGTTGTAAATTCTGAAAGAAGCAGTGACTTGCGTAATGTCTGATCATGAGCAAAGAGCTATGGAAATGAACAGCACACTGTTTTGGGGTAGCAAAGGACCTGATCTCCATTATAGTTGAAAATGGAGCCCTTTTCTAGTGAGGCCATAATAGCAGCAGCAGCTGCAGCCACTATGGCTGCCTGAATTCAGTGGATGTGTGAAGTGGCCAGAGCAGTAAATGACTCCATGGTACCAGGTGTATGTAGGGGAGGATTTGTGACTCTGGCCAAGTGGTTGCACAGGTTGTGGTGTCGCTTTAAACCTGCAAAGATTTGCTTGCTGGAGGAGAAGCAACTTTTTGAGCATCAGGTGCATATCTGAAGGGATGAGCTCATCCTTCTAACCAGACCTGCCCCAGACGCTGAGTGAATGTTTTCTTAATTGCAAGTCCTGCAGCTGGGGGAAGCAGGGAATGGTTGAGGCTTCAGACACTTTGAATAGGGAAAAAAAATCATTTTGGAGAATTGTTTGAAATGAGTAGCTGTGAATATCAGGTTGAAGGTAACCCACATGTCCACTTAGTCTTTAAGTTGAGGATTGCAGTAAAGTGCATGGTAGTTGAAGACAGTTTCGGTGATTCTTACTTTATTCTAGTACTTGTGTGTGTCTTGTGTGTGTTTGTGTGTATATATGTGTGAGTGTCTGTCTGGCTATCTGTGGCTGAGGATCAAACCTCGGGCCTTGTAATGCTTTACCACTGAGCTGTATCCCCAGTCTTTTGAAGTGACTTGTTAAGACTTAATAAATTTGTTGTCTGTATTATCTGGACTGATTTCATTGTTTTAGGAAATAATTCCAGAGGCTCCTTTTTGATTTCCACGTTTCCTCATGCCTTATTTTGGAGCTATTGTTGATGACACTTATCCCACTTTTGAAGTCTACTGTTCTAGATTTTAGAGCTTCTAGGAATGATCCTGTGTTATTTTGTTTCAGTGTATTTAAGCTTTCCTATTCAATTTAAGGATCTTCAAAATGCAATTGGCTTGGATAAGAAATATCAATTGTCTCTTTATATTTATTTTATTTTATTTTTTGTACCAGGGATTGAACTCAGGACCTTGTGCTTGTGAGGAAGGCCGCAGAACCACTGAGCTAAATCCAAGGCCCCAATTGTTTATTTTTTAATTAAACTTTTATTTTGGTATAATGCTGGATTCACATAGTTTTAATAAATAATGTAGGGCTACCTGATGTACTTTTTAGGTAACATCTTTCACAATGTAGTGCAACATCACAGTCATGGTATCAATATTGATGCAATCAAATGCCAAAGATCCATCATGTTGTCTTTTCTTTTTTCCTTTTCTCTTGACTGTTGCCCAGGCTTTTCTTGAGCCCCTAGGCTCAGGTGATCCTCAGTTTCCCAAGTGGCTAGACTATGGGTTTGTGCTACCATACCTGGTTCCCTTTTGTCCTTTTAGGACCTCCCCATTTCCCTTCTGCCCCTACACCTTCCTTAACAACTTTGTCAGTCAAAAAATAAGTTTTCATCAGAAAATGTTTGTGTGTAGTCCTCAGTCTTTTTTTTTTGGTACCAGGGATCAAACTTGGGACCTTGCACTTGCAAGGCAGGCAGCAGAACCACTGAGCTAAATCCCGGCCCTTGTTTTTGTTTTTTGAGACAGGGTCTTGCTAACTCTGACTAACCCAGGCTAGTCTCTCTGTGTAGCCCAGGCTGGTCTCTAACTTGTGATCCTCCTGTCTCAGCCTCCCAAGTCTTACCTTTATGGCTTGTGGCAGCAAGGTGGGCTCTTGAGTGGTTTTATATTAGAAATCCATATGACCTTATGGAAAGAGCCCTAGCTTGCAGTAGGAGAATTTTGTTCATTTTAGTTCTTTGACTTTGGGCAGCCTCCCAAGTGTTGGGATTGCAGGCATGAGCCACCATGCCTGGCCTTACTTTGTTTTTCAGGCAGGGTCTCATGATGCAGTTTAGGCTGGCCTTGAACTCACTACATAGTGAGACTAGTCTTGAACTCTTGGGGATCCTCTTGCCTCAGCTTGAGTTGCAGGTGTGTGTCACTAAGCTATATTGCTGAATTCATTCATCAGTGGTCAGTCAAGTCTGTAGGGTCTTAAATGTGCCATATCATCTGCAAACTTCTTCTTTTTTTTTGGTACTGGTGATCGAACTTGGGACCTTGGAAGGCAGGTGGTACCACTGAGCTAAATCCCCAGCCCCCTCAAACTTCTTTTTCTATTTGTATTCCTTTTACTTTTTTCTCCTGCCCAATTGTTCTAGCTAAAATTTCAAGAACTATTGAATAAAAATGGTAAGAGTACATATCCTTGCCTTGTTCCTGATTAAAATTTTCTGAGACAATCTCTGTGTAGCTCAGGCTGACTTTGAACTTCCTATGTAGGCCCTACTGACCTTGATCTCATGAAGCTCCTGCCTCAACCTTCCAAGTGGTGTATACCACTATACCTGGTGTTTCTTGTTTTTTTGCTTTTGGTACTGGGGATCGAACTCTGGTCCTTCTGCTTGCGATGCAGGTGGCGGGACCACTGAGCTAAATCCCCGGCCCTGGTTTCTTTTTTGACCTAGAATCTTTCTGTGTTACCCAGGCTGACCTTCAACTTCTGGGTTCAAAGTTATCTATGGCCTTAGCCTCCTAAGCCACTGGGACTACAGGTATGTGTCATCATGCCCTGTAAGAGTGAACATTTTGAAATGAATTTTTTTTTCTTTCTTTTTGTGGTACTGGAAATTAAACTTTGGGCCTTTTCACTGAGATACATTCTCAGCCCTTTTTTATATATTTTTATCTTAAGACAGGGTTTCCCTAAATTGCTAAATTGCTGGACTCAAACCTGGGATCTTCCTGCCTCAGTCTTTTTGTTTGTTTTGAAACAGGGTCTCCCTATGTAATTCAGGCTGGCCTTGGACTCATATAGCCCAGGCTGCTTTCTAAAGGCAATCCTTCTGCTTCAGCCTCCCAAATGTTGGGATTATGTGTGTACTGCATACTCCACCCCCACTCTTCTAGAGTGCTGGGATTGAAGCCTGTACAACCAAGTCCAGCTGAATTTCTTTCTTTCTTTCTTTCCTTCCTTCCTTCCTTTCCCGTTTTTGCTGTTTTGGGGGTTGACACTGGGACTTGTGAATGCCAAACAAATGTTCTACCATTGAGCTGTACCCCAGCTATTAAAAATAACTTAAATCTTAGGATTTAATTGAATTACATTTCAGGATGCTGAATTAACTGGCAGATGATCTCAGAGTCACTGTTGTTAATCTTTGAGAAACTATGAAGACTAGAGGAAGACAAATATTTTGGTTTTTTGTTTTTCTTTTACTGAGTTTATTGGTATATTTTAGGTATATAGTACAGTTACATTCATTATTGGGATCTTGTACCCTTACATGACAGGTGGTCTTGGTTCTCATTCTTTCCCTTGTCCCTGCCCTCCCTTCACCCCCTCCTTCCCTCTGCATTTACAAACACTTTATTTCCATTTTTTCATTTTTCTCAAAAGGTAAATATTTTGATAGAATGAAAGAGTGAAATAGTTGGAAAACAATAGACTTATCTAATGTGGAATCTTGGGAAAATCCAATTGTAAATGATTAAATGTATTATATAAAGCATTAAGGAGAAAAGAAGTGTGTGATTGATCATAACAATTTACTTCTGTCTCCGTTTTTGGATTCCATTACTTTTTTGTTTGTTTGTTTTTGAGACAGGGTTTCACTATGTAGTTGAGACTGACCTGGAACTCACTATGTAGTCCAGGCTAGTCTCAAACTCACAGCAATCCTCCTGCCTCAGCCTCCTGAGTTCTGGGATTACAGGTGTGCGCCTCCACACCCAGCTCCATTACTTTATTTCTATTTAGGATCATGAAGTTTATAGATCAGGAAATTGTTTTAGATATAATGAATCATATTCTCATTAGTTTCACAGTTCTTTATACAATTTTGGCTGATATATAATTAAATATGTTTGGCTGATTAGCTAAGTGAATGTTTAAAATATTGAATAATGACCCACTTAAAATTTTGATTTCACCAGGAACATATGGTATATATTTGGACCTTGGGTGGTGTATAAAAAGTTTAAAAGACATGTTGAACAGATATATAAGTATGGCAGAGCTGCAAAAGTGTTAATATGATGAATAAAGTTTGAAAATTATATTGGTAAGGTAATGTCTAAGTCCAAACTGATATTAAATTTAATAAGGATAAGCTCTGTGTTTAAATTCAAAATCTCAAATGCACAAGACCAGGATGAGGAAATGCTAGATGAGCAGTAGTTCACATGAAAAATGTCTGAGAATTTTGTTTGGTCATAAATGCATCAGGAAATGCCTATGCCAATGTGGCTGATAAAAATGCTTTCAACTGTATTGCAGGCATTAGTCCAGGTCACAGAAGCTTTGATCCGAATACATTTTAATACCAGGTTGGAAATATATTTGAGTGTTGTTTGCTAAGTCATATAACTCTTTGTTTTTTGTCTTTTTTGGTACCAGAGATTGAACTCAGAACCTTGAGCTTGTGAGGTAGGTGGTGGCGCCCCTGAGGTAAATCCCTGGCCCTTTGAATTTTTTTTTTTTTTGTACCAGGGATCGAACTTGGGACCTTGTGCTTGCAAGATGGGCAGCGGCACCAGTGAGCTAAATCCCCAGCCCCCTTTGAGACTTGGTTTGAATGGATATTGTCAAAGTTGCAAGCATTCCAAGGGAGGCAGACTGAACCATAAATGGTCTGAAAACTACTTATATAGGAAACTTTTAGGATTTGCAGGGAGAAGAGGCATTGAAAATTTAAAACTACAAAAAAAATGTAACTACAAAAAAAAATATAATACCCATAGTCCAACCATCCAGAATTAACCACTAGTAATATCTGTTTTTCTTAGCTTTGCTCCCTTCTCTTTCTCTCCCTCTTCCTCTCTCTGAAATAAAATGTTACAGGTAAAACCAAAGTCACTTCCCTTTCACTCCATATAAGGAATGGTGTTTTAAATTACGTTAATTTTATTTTTATCAGAGTACAGGATTGTGTTGGATATAGTGGCCACACCTCTAATCTCAGCAAGAACTTGATAGACTTGAGTCAGGAGGATGGTGAGTTTGAGGCCAGCCTGGGCTGCAGGATACATACTGAGTTCAAAGTCTGGATTATTTAGCAAGACTCTGTCTCAAAAAACAAGCAAATAAAAATAATACCTATGCATAGTTTTAAAAATTGAGCTGGACACTGTAGCACCTACCTGTGGTTCCAGTGCCTTAGGAGGCTGAGGAAGGAGGATGGCAAGTTCAAGCCAACCTAGGCAATTTAGAAGCTTAGGGATGCCCTGTCTCAAAGTGAAAAAAAAAAAAGAAGGGTTGAGGATGTAGCTCAGTGCTAAGGCCCTATGTTCAACCCTAGTTTGAAGAAAAAAAAAATCAAATAGTATTATATGCTTACAAGGAAAAATAGTTATTATACCCCTAGGAACAACCAGATTTGATTTGATTTAAATATTGCTAGTAGCATAATTATCACTTTCTTTTTAAAAACATTAAACACAAAAAGCCCACAGAATATGAGGCTTTCACTTTTTTTGTTTTGAATTTTTTCTTTTTATTCTGAAGCAATTTCAAATTTAACAAAATTTGCAAAAAGCATTATGAAGAAAGCCTATATTCTTATCACCCTGATTCACCGATGGTTGACATATTGTCACTTTAAAAGAAAAATCACTCTCTCTATGCAGACAAGGGGTCCAGACCTATGCAACAGAACTATCATTCCTGTGGCATTGACCTCCTGGAGTTCAGAATTAAACAGTACAAGGGGAAGGTCCTTCTTTTTCACAATTGCCCCTGGAGGATTTATTTCTCAAGTAGGAGGCTGGTGGCCTGGGAAGATATTAATTAGATTCTCTGCTTATGGCTTTCACTCTTAAATACATTTACATCTTATCTCTTATATTGTGAATATGTCATTTTGGGGATTGTGTCAATATTTGTTGTTTGTATTATACAAATGTTGAACCTGAGCTACATAATTTACAGTGATTACTATTATTTCCTTGTAGAACTTTGTATTTTCCTTAGATGTAATTTTTTTTCAGTTCTAAAAGTTTCAGTCTCTAAATCATACTCAAAACCTCTGCTTTAGTTACTCACTTCCAATAGATAAATTGTTTTAGTCACTGTCCTCATTGCTGGGACAAAATACTCAACACCTGAAACTTAAAGGAGAAAAGGTTTATTTTGGCTCACATTTTAGAAATTTCAATCCTTGCATGATGAGTGGTATGGTAGAAGGGCCTGGGCTGAGGAGAGCTGCAGACAAGAAGCAGTCTCAAGGGAGGACCCACAGTGACAAGTTCCTCCACCTTCTAACTGCAAGTCAGCTATAAACAGTATGTAAAATGCCTCTGTTATCCAGTCACCTTCCAAAGGTCCCTTCCAGGATCCCATGAGGCTTTAGGAGGAATTATAGATATAAACCACAACACAAATCTATCAAAAAATTTTTTTACTTAGTCCTTATACCGCCCCTGCTTTACCCTGGAATTTCTTTTCACTGAAATCCTGACATGTAATCTTTCTTGGTTTACTTTCATTTTGATAAAGCACATCCTTTAGAAGCTTTTAGAGTATGAAACATTTATGAGATATAACCTTTTTTGTTTTTTAAAACAGGATCTCACTATAATAACCTTGACTGGCCTTGAACTCACTATGTATCCTAGACTGGCCTGGAACTCCCTGCAATCCTCCTACATCAGCCTCCCAAGTGCTGGGATCACAGGTGTGCACCACCATGCCCAGCTTGAGATAACTTATTTTTGCTTTTGTTTTTTTTTGTTTAGACAATGGTCTTATTAGGTACTCTAGGCTGGACTTCAACTAGCTGTGTAGCACATGCTGGCCCCTAACTTCTGATCCTCCTGCTTCAGCCTCCTGAATGCTAGGATTACAGGCATGTGCCATGATGCCAGCCTTTTTTTTTTTTTTTTTTTTTT